GCCCCCGGCGTGTCGCGGCCCCCGCGGGAGCGATGGCCCGTTTTGGGGCGCAGCACATGCCGTGACCCAGAGGCTGTTGGCAGCGCACGGTGCCGTTTCTCCCGCGGTCACTGGAGGGAGCTGGCTCGTCCTTCCTCGGGCTCCCAGATGTCAGACAAGCTGCAGTTGAAGCAGTTGTGAAAAATGAAGGAGCTGGATGATTCCAGGGGGGTTTCAGATGAAAACAGAGACCCAGGACTCGCTGCATCCACAGAGGGGCCTTGGAAGAGCCCCGGGACGCCACACGCTCTGTCGTGGGACCTGTGGTCTGGGGACATGGGGTGGCATTGACGCTGACGGGACGTAGAGACTTGCACAGCAGAACAGGGTGAAACCGAGACGCAGAAAAAAGCAGCAGCTGTAGTTCCTGGGCTAGGCAAGATTTGGGGCGTTCAGCCTTCCCCTGGCTGGTGTTCGGTACCGGCTGGCATTGTCCTCTGGGCACCTCCTGTAGATGCTGAAGATCAAATGCACCGCTGAGGAGCAAACCCCTGATCTGCTAAAAAAAAAACCCCACACCAATCCTGGCAATGAATAAATACAGCTAACTCCTTCACTAGTTTCTATTTGATGCATTAAACCCCTGCCTTAGTCTAATCACTTTAGCATCCAGACTAAAACATGGCACTCCAGTATCTGCTGGTGCACCCAGGGACTAAACAAGCTTTGAATTAAGCAAATGGAACATTAAAAATGTATTTCTGAACGCAAGAGTGAGCAGACGGATAGCACAGAGCTGGGTATAATGGACTGTTTGTGCAATTGTGCTTGGGGCTATCATTAACCCCAGGTTTTGCCCCAGGGAAGGAGGACAGACACGGGAGCTGGGGCCATGTTTAGCTACGTCGGGATTTATACAGCTGCTCTAGAGGACTAGATCAGTCTATTGTCTCTGCTTTCTGCAATGAGCAATTTTTGCCCCCCCTTCCTTGAGCAGTTAAAAAATCTATATTCATAGAATTACAGAATGGTTTGGGTTGGCAAGAACCTTAAAGATCACCCAGTTCCAACCCCCTGCCATGGGCAGGGACACCTCCCACCAGACCAGGTTGCTCCCAGCCCCATCCAGCCTGGCCTTGAGC